GACCTTCCTTCTTTCCGAACATAGAAACTTGTTGCTACTACTTTCCAAGTACTGCTTTCAATGTATCCCACAAAATTTGAAATGTCTTTTCATTTTCATTTGATTCAGAATATTTTCTAATTTTTCCCTTTTGATTTTTTTTCTTTGACATATGAGTTACTTTAAAATGTGCTATTTAGTTTCCAAATATTTAGGGCTTTTTCAGACATTTCTTGCTATTAGTTTCTAATATACTTCTGTCGTAAAGAACGTACTTTGTATTTTAAATGTATTGACATTTATTTAATGGCTCCAAGTATGACCAATCTTATTAAATATACCATGTGGATTTGAAAGGAATGGGTATTCTGTTATTGAGTAGAGCAGTCTATAGATGACAACTGGGTCAAGTAGGTTGATATTGCTGTTCAAATTTCCAATATCCTTACTGATTTTATGTCTTTACTAATTATTAGTAGGGGTGTTGCAACTCCTACTATCATTGTGGATTTGTCCATTTATAGTTTTATCAGTTTTTAAAATTCATGTCTTTTGAATTTTCAATGTTTGGAGAGTAAATGTCTAACCTTCTTGATGAGCTCTTTTCTCTTTACGAAATGACCCATCATTATCCTTGGCAATTCTTTCTTCTGAAGTCTACTTCATCTATTATTAATACACTCACTCTAGCTTTCTTTTGATTATTATTAGTACAGCATATATATTTTTCCATCCTTCTTATTTTTAAGCTTTTGGTGCCCTTATATTTAAAGTGAGCTGCTTCTATGTAACAGAGAGTCAGGTCTTATTTTTCTAATCCAATCTGACAATATCTACCTTTTAATTAAGCTCTTGAGATCATATACATGTAATAAATAACATGATTTGGTTAAAATTGAATACATTGCTTTCTACTTGTCTACTTCCATCTATTCTTTATTCCCATTTTCTTTCTTTTGAATTAAATTTTTTACAATTTCATTTTATTTCCCCTTCTGGCTATAACTTTTTGTTGGTATTCTCTTAGTGGTCCTTTATAACTTATGAAACATATATTAACATATTATCTTCAATTCATATTATACCACTTGAGGTATAGTATAAATATCTTTCAACTAGATACTTCCATTTCCTCTACTACTCATCTCTGTAATATTATTGTCATTGATTTTAATTCCCCATGTTACAAACCCCATACTTCATTGGTATTTTTGCTTTAAGCATTTGTTGTCTTTTGAAGAGACTGAAGTAATAAAATGTATTTTGGATCTACCCACATAGTTACTATTATATTTCTGGGGCTCACCATTCCTCTGTGCAGATCCAGATTTCCATCTGGTACCATTTTCTGCTACCTAATGAATTCCTTTAATATCTCTTGAAGGAAATCAGCTGATAAGTTCTTTCAGCTTTTGTATGGCTAAAAAGTCATTTTACTTTCATTTTTGAAAGACATTTTATTCAGCATAAAAGTCTACATTGACGGTACTTTTGGCATGTACTTTAAAGATATGCCTCCACCATCTCTTAGCTTTCATTATCTTCTGCAAAAAGTTTACTGTCATTCTTATCTTGGTTCCTCTGCATATGTCTTTTTTTTTTCTTTCTGGATATATTTAAGTTTTTTTTTTCTTAAAACATTCTAAACCATTATTTTAGGCAATTTCATATGACATGAGTTAGTATAGTTTTCTTAGGGTTTCTTGTGGTCGGATTTCATTGAACTTCATGGATCTGAAGGTTTACAGTTTTTATTAGATTTGAAAATTTTTCAGTCATTATTTCTTTTCTACTTCTTCCACCTCTCCATTGGGGGCTCCAATTAAACTTATATTTGGAGTTTGGTTCCAATTAAACTTATATTTGAAGCTCACTTATGTTCACTACTTTAGTTTGTTTCTCTCCATGTGTTTCATTTTGTTTTTGCCTTTTTTTTGAGACAAGAGTCTCACTTTGTTCCCCTCAGTAAAGTGCCATGGCATCATAGCTCACAAAACCTTAAACTCTTGGGGATCAAATAATTCTCTTGCCTGAGTCTCCCAAGTAACTGCAACTACAGGCGCCTGCCACAATACCCAGCTATTTTTAGAGACAAGGTCTCGCTCTGGCTCAGGCTGGTCTCAAACCTGTGAGCTCAAGGCAATCCACCCACCTCAGCCTCCCAGAGTGCTAGAATTACAGATGTAAGCTACCATGCCTGGCCTATGTGTTTCATTTTGGACATTTCTATTTTTTGTTTTCAAACTCACTAAATTTTTTATCCAGCAATGTCTAATCATCTGTTAATTCTGTTTAGTATATTCCTCATTTCAGACAGTGCAGTTTTCATCTCTAAAAGTTTGATTGGGACATTTTTTATATTGTCTATGTCTCAGTCTTTCCTACAACTAGATAAAGGATAGATAAGAGCTCTCTGTACTATTTTTTCAACTTTTCTGTAAATCTAGCATTTATAAATGAAAAGATTTTTTAAAATAAAGAAATAAAAACGATCAAAAGAACACAGTAGCCAGCTTAAGGGGGCACTTACTGGCCAAATCTGTGACAATTTGAGGAATAAAATAATTAAGTATAGTAATAAATTAAGAACAGAAATTTATTAGTTTTTGCTGATAATAGATAAATTAGGGAAAAGGGAGGTCTCTTGCTTATGTAGAATGTCAAGGGCTGATGAGAGGAAGCACTGAGACTAAAAGAATCATTATTGTGCAATCATTATGACAAAAACTAGAACAGACAAGAATCATAAATGGAAATGAAATATAAAGGGAGATTTTAATAAGAATATTTGCCTTGTCTCAAAATATCTTTGCATAGCCTACTCTTTAGTTGCAAAGAAAGAAAGTAAAAACAGAGATACTATAATGGAGAAACTAGACAACATCTTGACTAGCATTAAAATTTAATATTACCTATGAATGACAGATATCAGGTACCTCCAGACGTGGTACCCCGAGAGACATGTTATCTAAACAGTATTCTGGCCGCGAAGTTGTAACATCAACCTAATCACAGAGTAAGATCAGGCAAACACAAAATGAGAAATGTTCTTTAAAAACAAAAAATAAAACAGTGAAGGGTGAACTATAGTCTTCAAAAATATCAATGCTATAAAAAGACAAAAAAAAGAGAAAAGGCTATACAAACAGTCCAGATTAAAGGAGGCGAAAGAGATATAAAATCAAAAACTAATTCTTATACTAAAAAAGATACCATTAAGACCATTATTAGATAAAATTGGAATATAGATGATAAATTAGATAAACATATAATATCAATATACATGAGTTGATAAGCATTCTACGACTACATACGGTAAAGAGAGAGAAGGGAGTAGTGGCAGAAAGTGCAAATAAGGAAGCGAATGGGGTAAAATATTAACAAAAAGTGAATTTAGATAAAAGGTATACAGCTATTCTCTGTACTATTTTTATTTTGCAGCTTTTTGTGAGCTTTAAATTATTTCCCCCCACAAGGTAGAAAGCCAATCCAGCATGCTCTGAATCCTATAGACTCATAAAACAGGTACTTCTTTCTCTCTCATCTTCTTTTTCCCTCTTCACTAGATCATTCTGCGAAGCTTAGAAACATTTTCTTCCATTTTGCTAAAAAAAACAAACAAACAAAAAAAACCCTGCCTCCGCGCCTGTAGCACAGTGGTTACAGCACCAGCCACATGCACCAAGGGTGTCGGGTTCGAAGCCGGCCAGGGCCAGCTAAAAAACAATGACAACTGCAAAAAAACCAAATAGCTGGGTGTTTTGGCAGGTGCCTGTAGTCCCAGCTACTTGGGAAGCTGAGGCAAGAGATTCGCTTAAGCCCAAGAGTTTGAGGCTGCGGTGAGCTGTGACACCATGGCACTCTACCAAGGGCAACATTGTAAGATTCTGTCTCAAAAATTACCAAACAAAGGTGTGGAAGTTCAAGGAGGCAGGGAAATTGCAAGGGTATAAGTCAAATCTGTCAAGTGTAGAACATAAATGTCTTAACACAATAATCAAGGAAATGAGGCGAAAGCTATGTTGATTGGTTTGATGTAACCACATCAGATTGTATAAAAAAAATCAACACATTGTACCCCACATATGCATAAATGTATTCATGATCCATGTATATTTGACTTAAAAAAAAACAAAGCATCGCTTGATCACACCCTCTCTGGATTTACTGAAAGAGTTTTCTACTCACATTGTCACACTTTATTACTTTCTATTTATCTTCAACCCACTCTAGCCTGGCCTCCAGCCTCATTACACATTGAAACTCCTCTTGCTGAAGTCGCCAAATACCTCTGAGTTACTAACTCACATGGATCCTCTTCGCATATTCGCATATTATACTACTTGACCTTTCAGCATCATTTGACAGCGCTGACCACACCCTCTTCCTTGACATACCCTCTTCTCTTGGCTCTTGGTCAAACACTCTTGATTTTCCTCTTGCCCCTCTGCCACTTCCTCACCCTTTCCCTGACTTCTAATGGCCCTGGTTCCTAAGCTTCCCCCCAGCTCTCTCTCTGGTCTCATTCATTCCTGTGGTTTTAAAAACATGTACTCCCAGACTTATTTGTTTAGCCCAAAACTTTACTCTGAATTCTACAGACAGTCCAAATGCTTTCACATAGTGGATTGAAACTTCTCAAACTTAACATATTCAAAATTGCACTCTTAGTCTCCCCCAGCCCCAAATATTTCCCCGTATTTTCCCATTTCAATAAATGCCACTCCACTCATCCAGATGCAAACCTGAGAAAACACAGGATCATCCTCTGGGTATTGAAATTATGAGTGACATTTTTACTCTATGCTTTTCAGTGGTTTAAATTTTTCCTACAATAAGCACAGCACATTTATAAATGAATTAATCAACTAAAAATATAAGAACCAAACCTTTCTTTTTGAATAATGTAAAAACAAAGATGTGCTTAAACATTATGCTTCATAGGTTTATGTTTGTTCTTAATTTTAGTTTTGTGAATGTCTAAATGAGCTGTTAAAAATTAATATTAACTTTCATCTTACCGGAAGTACTTGGATTTATTGAAGACATCACAGAATCCACTTCTATCTAGAAAAGAGAAAATAATAATAGGACATATAATTTTACTGAATGTTTTCACAGTGCTAGTTCTTAATTCCTAGGCTGGGGGAAGGGATGTATTTTATGAATAAACAACTTTGTTGAACCCAGCTGACAAGTAATGACATACAATAGTTACAATAGTCACCTTACTTTCCTATCAACATCTATAAGATACCAGATGCTAAGCTGCTAGACCCTAATAGTCACCAAAACTTAATTTCATTGACCAAAACAGTATAAGCAAATAAAATCAATTTGACTGTCCCACATATAGTAAGATTTAAAAGGTAACCTTTCTTCTTTAGCCAAATAGAAGCAATTGTCATAACTGGCTCTATGACTTTATTCTGGGTTTTTTTTTCTGATTATGAAAGTAACACATGATTAATGTAGAAAATATAAAAAATCTGAAAAATTATGATGGAAAGAAATTTTAAAAACCAGCCATCTAATGAAAACCACTGTTAATATTGGTCTAATATTAATCTAATCTAATTCTCTTCTATGTATTATTAACATATTTGAGAACACAGTGTATATCAAATTTGAGGATGTGCTTTCATTAAACACTAAAATAAAAGCATCTTCCCATGCCACAGGGCTTCATAAACACAATAGAATTAGAACCTTGGCAGCATCTGACATAAGTTCTTCACCTTCGCTCTTAAATGCTTCACAATCCTGGGTTCCCTTTACTTTCCTGCTTCATCTTCTTTATGGAGTCCCTGCCTACCCTTAAATGTTGGTATTCCTAGTGTTCTATCTTGAAGCACCAGCTCTTCCTACTCTGCTCGCTCTTCTTGGGCAATGCCATCCAGTCTCGTGTTTTCAGCTACAACTTGGAAACCAAGGAGTCTTAAATCTACTCCAGTCCTACCTCTCCGTGCGATTTTAGATTTCTACATCTAAGGGAGGCAGTAAAATCTGAGAACAGATTTTCACCACCATAACCTCAATACCAGCCCAGCCTTTAATGAGTGAATGCATGACAGACCTGGAACACCCATAGCTGTCTCAAACTCAATGTGTCCCAATATTCACTGACTTCCTCTGAACCTACTTCTGCATTTTCTCTTACTTTGTGACAGTCATCACTGTCCCTTCAGCCCTTGCGATCATGGCACTCTCTTACCACCAGCACATCTAGTCAATCACCAGGGTACAACAGGTCTGACCACCCACACAGTGTTCTTAGAGACTAAGTGTTCTAGACATGTCTAAATGACAGCCAGACTGCTATTACAGTTACCATTAGAATTAGGCTTTCCTTCTTTATTCCTTTCATTTTCCATTTTTTGATCTATTCTCTATCTTGGCATTTACCACAGAGTTTTTTTTTTTGAGACAGAGCTTCAAGCTGTCCCCCTGGGTAGAGTGCTGGGGCCTCACAGCTCACAGCAACCTCCAACTCCTGGGCTCAAACGAGTCTCCTGCCTCCGCCTCCCAAGTCGCTGGGACCACAGGCACCTGCCACAACGCCTGGCTATTTTTTGGTTGCAGCCATCATTGTTGTTTGGCAGGCCCTGGCTGGATTTGAACCGCCACCTTAGGTGTATGTGGCTGACACCTTAGCCACCTGAGCCACAGGCGCCGAGCCTACCACAGAGTTTTATAAATCTTTCTACACTAAACTGTGAACCGCTTCAAAATAGGGACTGTTTTGTTCATCTTTGTATCATTAGCAACTAGCAAATGTTCTTTTTATTAAATAGGATTACAAAAAATTTCATGGTTTAAAACACTGCATGAATGTATATGTATTTTACTGCTTCATGACCTAAAATCAGTAAATGTTACTCAAAAAAATATTCAAAACTTAAACACTAAACTTCAACTTTGTATAAAAGTAAAAATCTGTTAAAAATCTGTTCACGGAAGCTACAAGTTAAGCATCGCTTTATATAATAAAAGTTCATTGCACAAATGACTAAATGTATAGGTGACTACTTGCTGTATTAACACTTTACTGTTCAGTGACCTGCAGTCAGTAAATTTGCTTAAAAAATAAAATCCAAAACCTCAACCCAGTATGAGAAGTAAAAATCTGTTGAATTTCATAAAGGGTACACATCACTGTAACTGTCATTAAATTTCACCCTTATATTCTAAGAAACCAAATAGACTCAAGGGTGATAAAGGCAAAATGAGACAAGATATCTTTTCCAGGTGAACTCAGGTTAAATATAATGCCTCAAAGCCTGAGTCTTTTTAGCTGACTTGCTCTTTAATTCCAGCTGAAATGATTGCAGGTTAACGGGAGAGCTGCAATTTCAGAGAGCCTGCTCTGAATACTTTTCTGGGCTCCGTAATCAGCCTCTCAGTAACTGAGCATCCTCTATTTAAGCTGCTCTAAACCCACCTGGGCTGCTCATGCAACTGTTTGGGTCAACAACGTATTTACTGTGAATTTGTGATACATTTAAGCATACTGAAGGGTGAAGAAGTGGGATGTCATGGGGTCCCTGGCTTTATTTGGCTTGCAATATGACTGAAAGGTAGAGTCCACTCATGAGGGCCAGTTGGGTCATAACTGATTGCCAAGCTGTTTAGTCTAATGAAAGTGAGAGAGCATTCCAGGCAGAGCCCTGAGTGCTTCCTTTGATGGTGGCTGTTGATTTCTTGAATATGGAGACTATCTGATTAATTCCAGCTCAGCAGCTTAACCAGAAGGGATCTGTCTAGAGAATGAACATAACAGGCAAGCAGAATCGCACAAAGATAGAGGTGAACAGGGAATGTGTCCTCCAACGAAGTTCATGAAGGCTCAGGTCAACTCTCTTTGTTGGTGAACTGGTGCAACCTTCTGTGGAGAGCAATAGCCAACAAAATTCTAAATGTAGATATCCCTTGATCTGGCAATTATACTTCTAGGGATTTAGTCCACAGATACACATCCACAAGGACATAAATATATGTGTGTGTGTGTGTACTTACATGTAAAAGAATGTTCAGTGGAGCAATGTTTATAGGAATAGAAAATAATGAAAACTAAAAACAGAAAAGTGGCTTAAAAGAACACTATGCAACTATTGTTTTAAATGTGGTACTGATGTGTGCTTTTAGGTTGATCTATTGAAAAAAGTTAAAGTAGGCACAGCATGTACCCATTTATGTTTTCTTTTTTTTTTAGAGACAGAGTCTCATTTTATCGCCCTCAGTAGACTGCCATGATGTCACGGCTCACAGCAACCTCCAACTCCTAGGCTTAGGCGATTCTCTTGCCTCAGCCTCCTGAGTAGCCAGGACTACAGGTGCAAAACACATGCCCGGCTATTTTTTGTTGCAGTTTGGCCAGCGCTGGGCTTGAACCCGCCACCCTCAGTATATGGAGCCAGTGCCCTACTCACTGAGCCACAGGCACCACCCCTCCATTTATGTTTTCAACAGAAGGCTACAAATATATTTGTCACAGATAGGAAATTTTAGAATACACAAAAATCTCTTCATAAAGATAATCCCTGAGGAGCGAGACCCTCTAGTACAAGGAGAGTGGATTTCATGTTCAACTTTATACCTCTCTCTACTATTTTAATTTTTTAATATTTGAATGTATTACTTTTATAATTTAAAGCCAAAAAAATTTTAATAAAAGGAGACTGTGCATTTCATCCTCTGTGTGAATTCCTTCTGGGACAATGTCCCCTTCCATCCTTCCCTCTTGATGCCTCTCCTGTTTTTTATAGTTATTAGCAGCCTAGTGGTAAAATAGGCTTCCTGGGCTCCAATGAGATAAGATTTCCAATTCAGCCCTAGGTTGCAATCTTAGGGAGAGAGTAAAATCCGGCACTCCACACATCTGTGAAATTGTTTATAAAGCAGTGATTTGTACATGTTCCTAAGAACAATAAAACATTATTATAGTCCAGTTGGGGGGGAGGAGGAGGACGTATGTTAGAGAGAGGGAGGGAGGGCTAGAGGCAGGCTCTCACCTAATGCGCACATTGTGAGAGTAACACGCCCCCTGGGTGAGGGTCTCTTTTTGAAATGTAACTTAGCCCTGGAAATGCGAACACTGTGACCTAAATATTGTACCCTCGTATTAATTTGAATATAGTTTTAAAACAAACCAAAAAAAAATCAGCAATTTGCTTTACGAAAGTTTTAAGCTAGCCCTGTGCACTTTTCTTCCATCCATTCACTACTGTACTATCTACCCCTTCCCAAATACATAAAGAAAGCTCTACCTTGGAGGGCTTGTACCCGAACAGCATTACAACAGCAACTTTAAAGTCCTCTCTGCTTAGATAGCCTTTGTTATCTTCGTCGCATGCTTTAAATACCTAAAGAACATTAAATATCTTTAGTTACTAAGAATGAAACTTTCTCTTATTTTTGTTACTAGTTTATATTTAATATTAAATTTGGAACTCAAAAAGTTGAAACTTAGCCCCACAGTAGAGGTTGAAAATAGAATTTCATTAAGCCAATTTTAATTCTCAAAAAAATCTTAAGAACTTAAATTTGCCTCAAAGAAGCGCAAACGACCTAATCGCTAGCCTAACGCAAATTAATTCCTTTCAACCACCGGCATAAATTCTATCCAAAAATTCAGTTGTGTAATTAGGAAAGTGAGACAAAGGGGCAGGCTTTGAAAGGAGGAAAGAACGATGTGGATTCGAAGTTATTACTAATAGACTATGTGACGAGGAAAGAAAAGAAACTTGGAAATAACCAGAACACTGGACGAACAGCCAGGAGACTTGAAGCTGTAGGCTCAGCCATTAACACTCTGCAAGGGCAGTTTGGCGCAATAGGCTGAGACTCAAGCGTGGTGACAGAATGCAAGCCCCGGAATTCAAGCTGAAATACGAGACTCAAGAGTCGCCCTCCGAACACCTACTTCCACCCATTTCTTGTGTTCCGAAGGGCTGGCTTCCCAAGTCCGTGGCCTGGGCCTGGTCTCGGACAAAAACATAGCAAGCGCCATGACCTTCCGGAGCCACCAAACCCACCACCTCCACTGCCAGAGCCCGCGGGCAAAAAGCCGCAGCCACGCCCACCGCGGCTCAGGAAGTTGAACTCTACCGTGCCGCTCCAACGTCTTCCCCTATTGGACAGGCTTCGAACCAGTCAGGTTAGTTCTGCAGTCGTATTGGCCAGAGACTTTGTTTAACAACGTTGCCTTGGCACAGCCTGGGCGGGAAGGCCAGCAGATCCGCCCCTAGTACTTGGCTCTGCCCCTACCCGGTCCTCTTAACTCCTTACGAGCCGCTGGGCATTTAACGCTCCGAAGTGCTCGTTCTGTGTGGTCTGTTTTGTAATTTAAGTCTCTCCCCTCACCTTGCAATAAATTACTTTGGATCACTTTGCTCTGTGGCACTATGCTAAACATTATAGGAGACGCAAAGAGAGTGTGAACAAAGCATAAAGAGGACTAAATGAATCGAGCCAAGACCAGGATTCACGCTCAGATCAGCAAGTCCTTGGGGATGAGCTCCCAGCGTAATTACAACTCCTGTTTTGTTCTAGGAAAAACACCAGCACCTAGCACTGTGCCTGGCACAAATGACACCTTCAATAAACGAATGAAAAGGAGCCATTAAAGCATTTACGGAAATTTATTTCCTCTCTGGGAGAGATGTCTGGTTTGAAAGAGACTCCGAAAATGAATCCACAGCAAATATCCTTATTAAAAGCAAAGACTATGGAGAGACGAATGTTTACCAAAAGTTTATCCCAGACCCCTGTTTCTTGGCATATCAGATTAAAAAGAACACAAGTCTTTCAAAGAAGAACCAGACATCGGAGGTTCTGAGTATGCAGGGAACTCGTTTAACTTTTTATTTTATAGCCCGCTTCTCCCAGGACACAAGTCTCCCAGTCCACAGCTGCCTTTAACCTCGCCTCACCCTTTCCCCAAATTTAATACAAACACTCTGCTTCAAGCCCTAGCCACCTCCAAGTCTAAGAGAATCCCTACAAAGAAGTTGTTTTGCTAATTCGTTGATAAGCTAGGGATTGCCTTTCTGTTTCTTTTTCTTTTGAGACAGTCTCTGTCGCCCTGGGTAGAGTGGCCACGGAGTCATAGCTCACAGCAACCTCAAACTCCTAGGCTGAAGCGATCCTCTTGTTTCAGCCTCCCAAGTAAGTGGGACTACAGACACCTCCACAACAGGGGACTAGTTTAGGGGGATTTTTCGTGTTTTTTTTTTTTCTTTCTATTTTTTAAGTATAAACTGGGTCTCCCTCTTGCTCAGGGAGGTCTCGAACTCCTGAGTTCAAGCAATCCACCGCCTCAGCCTCCCAAAGGGCTAGGATTACAGGCGTGAGCCATCTCGCAAGGCTTCCCTCCTTTTTTTTTTTTTTTTAAAGAAGTCACCGGAAGGTGAGCCGGAAGCGAGCGAAGGCCGATTTCCCCTCCGCGCGCTCCCGGGGAAGCTCAGGACTGCGCCGGTGGATCCGGCGGGCTTTAGGACCCAGAGGCAGGCTTGCCGGAAGGGAAAGGGCCAAATCTGAGAGGCGCTCGCCGCGGCCTGGAGGGTTTGAACTGCGCGCATGCGCGGCGGCGCCGAGGGACTGGATTCGAGCGCTGTGGTGCATCAGGTATGTGTCCTGCGGCTGCCGGCGCGGCGCTTTTTCTAAGTTCCTGCTGCAGGGTGACGGTCCTTCTGGCCTTTGGGGTCCGGCAGAGCTGGAGGTGGGCCGCAAGGGAAGCGGCGCCGGGGAAGACAAGTGGGTCGAGTCCCCCCCCTGCCTTCTGGGCCTCGGTTTCCTCTAGTAATAGCACCCCTGACCCCAGAGGGGCCGCCTAGCAGAGTCCCAACTCCTGCCCGTAGTGTGGGCGTGAGAGGCCTCCTGCCGAGGTTCTCATTTCGTCTCCACTTAACGGGTGGTGGTCTCGGACAGTTAGTAAAAGCCAGGGCATGATGAGTGCTCACCGCGCGCCCAGCGCTTAGCCTTTCTGTGCCGAGTTTCCTGGTAAGTGGGGATGGTCGTGGTACGTAGTGTAGAGTTGTTGTGAGTATGAAATGAGTTTGTACTGGTAAGGGCCTTCTGGTTGTGCCTGCCCTCGGGTGAGCACATAGAGTTAGCAGCTGTCGCTGCTTTCTCACCGCATCCACTTCTCCCTGAGCTCCGCAGGAGCCTTTTCTTTTTGACTTGTATCTTCCCTGCACACCATTCTCCATACGGAATAGTAACAGAGGTAATACTTTAAAAAAGGAAACCGGACTAGGCTCTGTCTTTATTAAAGCCCCCAGTGAGGGCCTGTTCTTAGAACAAAATCAAGCGTCTTTAACCCGCCTTGTTTCTCTTTTTATCCCCTTCATCCTGGACCACAGTCTACCTGGGTTACATCCTTCTATTAGCTTTTGCAGGAATGCTCTTCTTCACTCTCTTAGCTGGCGAGATCCTTTTCATTGAGTCTCACTTAAAATGTTCTTCAGAGAGTATTCCAAAGTAAGGGCATCCCTGTCTTTTCTGTCTCAAAATGTCTGCAATTACCTTTTTAAAATTTATGTTGGGTCTGTCTCTTCCACACAGAAATCAAATTATTCTGGTGTAGATCCTGTATGTTGTTAACTCCCTACTCCCATTGCTTGGTACAAAGTAACTGCGTAAGCTAAAGAACTCTGGGAGTTAAGCATGATAACTCATTTACAGATGAGGAAACTGAGCCTCAGCAGTTAATCTGCCCAAGTCCTCATTTACCATCTGGGAATGACTGGTGTGAAATTAGGGCCCGTGTTTACCCACCACTGGTCACAAAGGGCCTCAGCTGCTGAGCCTGGCTCCCAGGCCCACCTGATCCTCTTTAAGCTCTATGAAAAGGAAGAGTTGAAGGTGGACAAGAAATGCCCCAGCTGTGTCTAGGATGGTTGGGGGAGAGGAAGCACTAACAAGTCTAAATGGAGTGCTTTACAATATTTCTTAAAGTCATTAATGGAAGTTCTAATTGTGCCCTGAGTTGGCGTATGATGAGACATTTTTTACATTTTTCGTCCTCTTTAGTGTCATCTTTGCCAAATTTCACTCACCTCCCTCCCTAGTTTTTATTTTAACACACGTATTAATGTTTTTACTTGAATCCACTCACTTTTCTGCATAAACGCTGTCTCTTAAACAGCAAGTTTTATTTTGATTGATTGATTGATTTATGTTTTGGAGACGGGATCTTGCTTGTCCTCTAGGCTACAGTGCTGTAGTGGAGTCTAGCATAGGTCACTGTAACCTGAAACTCTATCCTGGGAGCAAGTGACCTTCCTTGCCTCAGCCTCCCCAGTAGCTGAAAAACTTTATTCTGTTTTCATAAGCATAATGGAGGCATAAAATGACTTCCATCATTGGTAAATATTGGTGCCTGCAGAAGAGCCCAAACTCGATATTTGTCCAAAAGCAAGATTAAAAATTTCTACAGAACTACAACTTTCTCCTTGATTTAAACAAGGAACTTAGATTGGAAAAGGGAGGTACGGTTGGTATTTGTCCCCCAGGCCAAATGAAAAAGCTAGGACACGGCCTTTGTGGGAAAGGAAAGGGAAATTTATTAATTTGGCAACTCCTGTCACAAAACAACCATTTCCTTCCCATAAACAGAAATAAGTCTTTTAAAGGGGGAGTTTTCTGATAGATCCTATTCCTGGCAGGCACCTTTTCTAGGCCAGGCTGCCAGGACAACTCTTAAGAGCCCTCTCCTGATAATAAGCTGAGGCAGGGATGCAAGTTTTAGTTCTCAAAAAGACTAAAAAGGTTCTAAAGGGACGGAAAGTATTTTTGCTCTTTTCCAGGCATTCTGTTGCAGTACCTTCCTAATGAAATGTTAATTTCAAGTTCCAGACACCTGCACTTTTTGAATCACTGCTGTCCTGATTGAATGCTAGCACTCAGCCCACCTGTATTGTATTCCAGTTCTTTCAGTCTCACTGATGCTGTATCAGGCATTGTCCACAAAGACAGATGGTAAACAGTTGGGGAAAAACTCATGAGTTCTATATAAAATCATCTGAGTTGATTACAAATCTCCCTAGCCAACTGGGAACCGGTGCCTGTGTGGGAAAAAAGTTCTGGCACTGGTGTCCAGATCCCGTTCTCCAAAGTAAACGTCCCTGTTTGATCATTTACCAACAACTAGCTTCTCTCTATGGGGCCACATCCTCCATTTCACAGAGGATGGTAACCTGCTACACTGAAGAAGACACAGTTTTATTGATCTGTTGCACTCAGTTGTAATCCAATAAACAGTATTGGGTTATTTGCCTTTAGTTAATAACTCTCAGGCATATTTGAGTGTCAGCAGGTCCAAAACTTTATGTAAAGGCCCCCCCTAAAAAGACTTTGTTCTCAAAGCATTGTCTGCCAGAGCTATTTTTTATCCACTTGTCCTATTTTGTTGGGTGGAATTCCACTCGCATGTGGTTTTAGAAAATGTAGATAAAAAAACTAGAGACCTTAGAAATCCTCTGACTAGTTCAGAGTTGCTGAAGGTTTCACAATGCATATGGAATTCTCAGGGCTTTGGAATTCCTTCTTGTTTAGTTATAATACAAGGTGTATTCACCTAGGGAAGAGATGTTTGGTACCCCTTAAAAGTCTTGCAAATGGCCTTTCTCCCCCAAAATAGAGCTGCTATTTGCTTTAGAATGGAAAAGGAATCTAGACTACCTGAAGACTGTAGTTGAAGATTCTATTACTAAACACCTTGCTGTAGAGCTGTTTTCGAGTTCAAAGTATTTTTTCCTGAAGTGTAAAGTCACAAAACTATAGCCACAAAAATAGTTCTCACAAAGCGATTATGGCAGCTTAAATACCTCCATCCAGCAATGACTCTGGAACACTTAAAGAATCCAAGGTTTTTTCATTTCTGTTTTAACAAAAAGATAAAAAAAAAAATCACACCTGAGTTGCTCAAGTAGGTGTTAAGTACTAAGTCAGTTTGAATCTCTTTCATGGAGAAAACCTGGCATTCAGACCCATTTTAACTCATAATACAATTCTAACTAGCTTAGTT